ATATGGTTTGTGCGGTATCAAACACCGAACGCCACCGCTTTGACTCGCATCTGGTCTTGACTACAGCTGAATCCAAAATCTGAAACCCTAAACAAACCCTAAACCTTGAACCATAAGCCCCACTAGAACCCTAATTCCACATCTTCACACCCTACAGGGTCTGGTAGTATGTGCAGAACCAAACGCCGAAATCTACCGCTTTGACTCGCAGTTGTTCTTGACCACAGATCAACACTCATACAGTCCCATTGCTCTGAGTGATGCCAATGTGCTACTACAGGGCACCCTCGTGCGTAATGTGGACTATGTCTACGGCATGGCTGTATACACAGGTGCGTATATGTATGTTCAGGTAGGCCTTTGTGTTGTATATGCAAATACTCTCATTTCATATGCACATGTTGAGCTCTGTTGTGTATACATACACATGCACAAATACATCCATTGCGTATGTATTTCTATAGCTCATTATATATGTACATTTATATACATACGCGTAGGTATGCTAGTGCACAGGTCTATGTAAGGGCCAATACAGTAAATTGGGTGTGTGCGTTCCACGGTAGTTCACATATTAGTGTCAATACAGAGCCACCTACACGTACAACACGTAGAACACTATTTTGACGATAAGCCATGATAATCCCGCCCACTGCACGTGGCAAATGCTTTCTTCTAGGCAAACACTCCACATGATTGCATAGCCTCCAGACAACGTGTATCTACATTGCGATCAGTATCTGTATATTGCAATGATTAGGACTAAGCCAAGAATGTGTAAGATAGTTTCAAGACAGCACAATACGATTGTTATCACCTAGTTACGCCTGCACATGCACATATCATTCGCAGAACAAATTAGACAATGGTGATTTAGTGTTACTCCTCCACAGCCTCCTACTACAAACTACAACACAGCAGGCGACATCTGGCTGCGCATGAATGAGAGAGTTCCCATTGAGGCAACCACTGCCTCAGACATACCACGACATGTGCGCACAACATTGACACGGTAGAGCTGTTTGTTGATGCTTGGACAGTATTATTTGCAGACATTCGATTGTATCATCTATAAAGGAACGATAAAAACCAGGCATGAATGGGAACGATTGCACTAAGAATAGCGTCACCCACGACCAAAATGCATGTAACATAGCACTGGCGATCTAATAGCACACACATTTATTTGCGCAAAACTATTCGCACAACACGGGTGACGACACAAAACACGAACCAATATAACCACCTTTAACAAATACATGTATATGCACACAGTACTGACGAGACAAGGGTGTACACTTGTATTCATCTACGGGCAACTAATCGAACAACACAGGTGACGACACAAAGCACGAACCAATATAACCACCTTTCTGACGAGACAAGGGTTGTACACTTGTATTCATCTACGGGCAACTAATCGAACAACACAGGTGATGACATAAAGCACGAACCAATATAAACACCTTTAACAAATACATGTATATGCACACAGTACTGACGAGACAAAGGATGTACACTTGTAATCATCTACAAACAACTAATCGAACAACACAGGTGACGACACCAAACTCAGCATGAACAAGAAAGTGCCCGAAGAGAAATCCACAGCCTTAGACGCGCTCATTGATCGGTGTGTGGCCGCCATATTTATATCACAACTGTGCATAGCTGCCGTGTTGGGAGGTTTAGGTCTGTGGCAACAGATGTCTGACCAAGAAGACATGTGGTATCTCGGCGGTAGGGGTTCGCACGAGATGAACTGGTACGACTTCCTGGTGGTGCCGCTGAGAATGCTGTTACTGATGAGTCTGATGATCCCCATATCACTCAAGGTATCATACACACATACACACACACACACACACACACACATACATACACATACACACACACACACACACACACACATATATATATATACACACACACACACACACACACACACACACACACACACACACA